ATGTGCACCTCCCGCCCGGCTGGTACTAACATTTCTTCGCTCGGCCGTCCGTCTGCACGGCAGACACGAGGAGGTTGCAGGCGGAGAGCCGTAGCGGGCCGGGGCGGGCGGGGCCCAGCAAACAATGAGGGCCGTCCAGAGTATTTATTTTAGATCCTCGAGGTTTGGGTTTGTTTGGCCAGAGCTGCGCGCTGGCAGGCGGGGCTGCGTCCAGACGGAGCGCACCGGTCGTGCGGCCACATCATAACCTACCGTACACCGCCGTGCGTACCTTCAGACCGAACAGAAAAGAAATACGAAAAAAACACCAAGTGTATACTGTTTTTAAATTTTCGATTTCGCGTGCGATTGTGATCTGTTCGGCTGCTAACTGGTTTGGTACTTATGGCCGCAGGCTGACGTGTCCACCGAGAGGTTATGACTCGTGTCACCCCGTCATGTCACCCCTGCGGATGACGCGCTCGCTCGGCCGCGGCCGTCCGTCCGGTGTGTTCCGCGAAGGAGAGAGGGCGGGAGGGAGAAGGGAAGGGTGCGAGGCCGCAATGTATAGCGCAAATATTTGCGGCGCTGTTGACGTTTGTTTATCGAGACGCTAGAGGAGAGGAGACCACCATTCCGTTTTTGTCGCTAGGTGACGAACGCGCGGACGTCTCTCGCTCTCTCTAAGCCTGTCAGTCTCTCTCACTCTCTGAACGCCCCCCGATTTCCTGTTGTCTGCTCCTGCTCGTCGTTACAAATGTCCTCTGCAAATCCGAAGTGGACTCGCCCATTGCGCGGTCGGCACTAGCAGAATTCGCGGGTCTCGGTCCGCAAAATCTACTGTAGGTCATTCCCTTTGTTGTGTTGCAATTTCCATTTAATAATCAAGCAATATGGCAATTTCAATTTTAATTTTTCTATCTAATATTTTAATAACTTGCCTGTTAAGATGATGATTGGGTTTGTTATCTAGAAGCAATATTTTAATGCGTTTGTCGACTTTGACTATGTCCGTCGCTTGTGTCCGTCACGACTTGCTTTACTTCAGTAGTTAATATCTCTGTAGCTGAGGTGTTTAGGCTCCGCGCCTACATTTTTTTCTACGGTGTCCACAGCATGACAGTCATTGTGACTGTACTCAGCGCTGCTCAGTGCTCATCGTGCAGTGCCCCTCCCCCCCCCTCCCCAATTCTCCCCTCCCCCGGCCGGCTTCTCGAAGTGCCCTTCACCGGCTGCGGCCAGACCGCACAGGTGCACGGCGCGATGAAATGCAGCGCACCTAATCAGGCGTTTAGGTCGGCGCGAGGGTTTGTTATAATTTAAACTTGTAAAACAAGAACAATTATTAACCGCGCCAAATTTGCTGTAGCTTTTTCTTAAACGGCACATTTTGTGTGCTTGTGCTTCCCGATGATTGTGTGCGTGTATGTGTGTGCGTGCGTGCGTGTGCATGCGTGTACGTGCGTGTGGTGTGACGCGCTCCCCTGCGCCGCCAACCGTCACACGTCAGTCTGCGGCTTATCATAACAACCCCCGGGCTGCCACAACAACACCCACTACCGCCACAACAACAATAACCGCGTCGTGTGTATGTGTGTATGTATTTGTGCCGTCTGTCCGTCTGTCTGTCTGTCTGGGTCATCGTCAACGACTGCTTACAGTGACAGTGCAGTTTTTTTAAAATTTAGTTTTGTAACTTACACTGATAAATAAAGTGTTCAACTGGCGTGCACATTTGAATACTTACACTGACAAGCTAAGTGTGCAACTGCTCAACACTTGTAAGTTTGCAAGTACAAGTTAAATACTTGCAAGTGTGCAACTGCCAGTTAATTACTTGCAAGTGTTAGTTGCACACTCAGTTTATCAGGGTAAAAGTGTTCAACAGTAAATTTGAACACTTAAAGGTCTTCAAATGTTCGTGTCCAACACTTTTAAGTGTTCAACTTTGCTGTTAAACACGCCAGTTGAACAATTTATTTATCAGTGTACACTGTTAAATTCCTGCAAAGTACTTTGCTCCTTTGTAACTACGAAGCATTTACTTCGCAATTACAAAGTGATGCTTTGCAATTACGAAGTGACACGTTTTCATTTCGCAATTGCAAAGCATCACTTTGTAATTGCAAAGTAAATTCTTCGTAGTTACAAAGGGGCAAAATACTTCGCAACTCTGCAAAGCGAATGCTTTGTAGGAATTTAACAGTGTACGTTATATTTTTCCCATAAATTATAAGCTGTTGTTAGAATTTTCTTGAACGATCGCGCGTATGTGCCTCCATTTCTATCCCCTCTGCATTCTAGTTAAAAGTCGACTTAAAACAAAACAAATGTGTCTGCTTGGTATCAACTTGCAGTCGATGCGTGCCCCTCGTCATCCGCAGTATCTTTCGTCCGGGTGTGCTGACCCTCCCCTTCCCCCTGCCTTCCTCCCCATCCCCCTCTTACTAAAGGCCCCGCGGCCGTAGTTCTGCCCCCCCCCCTCCCCTTCCCTCCCGACCAGACCGCGCCCAGCCCCACCCTCCCCTGCCGTGCTCCGCCCGCAAACTCATACAGTAGTAATGCGGTACATTTCGGCGCGACGTTTCTCGAAAAGCGGTCGCCTATCGAGAGAGGCGCGAGGGGAGGGGGGGAAGTCGAGGGGTCAGAAGTGCTGATGGTTGTGTTCTCCGAATGTAATCAATACCCCATGGTGATACCTGATGATGGCGCGTCGTTGAATGTGGCGGAAGAGGTTGTGAGATTTTGAATGAATTTCGGGGACCAAAGGATGTCCGTAGACGCCGTCCGTCGCCCCTTGCCGCGTCCAACACGGTTATCGTCCTCGACTCGGACCGACTGTCCGCCCCGCCCCACCTCGCCGTGCCCCGCCACACCCAGACCCAGCCTCACAAATGAAAAACCAACAAAGCGCCGCCGAGGAATAAACAAAAACAAGTAAACAGGGCAGCACAAACACGGCCAGCGCGGGCGACGACGTGTCCGACGGAGACAGAGTGCACGCGAAGGACAGAGAGGGAGAGATACGAGTTTGTGTGTGTGTGTGTGTGCGCGCGCGCGTGTGTGCGTGTGTGTGTGCGTGTGTGTGCAGCAGGACGGCGCACCGGGTTGAGAGGTGCGAACAGAGTTTCCCCGCGACCCAAAGTAAGCATTGTGTTAGGTCACTTTACGAGAATAGCGCTCACGCCTCCTGTGATGGAAATAGTACTGCCTTCATTATCTTTTTCTTTTATTGCGGTCTGCGGCGTGAGTGAACCTGGTCGTACCATACACTTAGAACGCCGTGTTCTTGATTCAAGAGCGAAATTCTCTTGAATGAAGAGCATTTTGCACTTGATTTAAGAGCTATTTCTTTAAATAAGACAAAAACGCTTGATTCAAATACCGACTAAACTTGGAGTCAAGTGCATTTGGTACTTGAGTTTAGCGTCTATTGCACTTGGGTCCAAATGTATTTGGTATACTTGAATCAAGCGTTTTTGTCTCAGTAT